GGCCCCCTGGCTGGGGGAGGAGGGAGCTGTGGCCCCTCCCCTCCCCCCACGCACCCGTCTCTCGGCTGAGGGAGGAGGGAGCTGTGGCCCCTCCCCTCCCCCCACGCACCCGTCTCTCGGCTGAGGGAGGAGGGAGCTGTGCTCTCCCACACACACAGCCCCCAACCAGCTGAGAGAAGAGGGGGCGATAGTGTGTCTCTCCCCGCCACCCCGTCGCCTGAGGGTGCTGTGTGCTCCACCCCTCCCCCACTCCGCCGGTCCCCCCCTTGGGCTGAGGAAAGCGGCAGCAGCTCTGTCAGCTGGGGGTAGAAGGAGCTATTCCTGTCCCTTCCCCCAGTGTATGGAGGTCAGAGGAGGCATTTCACTTCCTCCATCTTGTGGGGCTTGTACTGGGGGTAACTAAACTCCCACCCACCCCTTGACCATCACTTCTTGTTGTTTGTGTATGGGATCATTTGTTTTCACTAAAGCCAACAATTACAGGATAGTGATAATCGGCACAATGAATTCGGGAGTGGGGGTAGGTGCATCCTGGTCCTGCTGTCACAGTTTCCTGTGTGTGCTCTGAGAGATCATCTCTTGCAACGTGTAGGATGCGATCTATGCTTTGTTTTTGTTCATGTTGCTAAAACACAGACCCGTAATCACTGCTCTGTGGCGCTTCAGTCTAACGGCCCAAGTGCACTACAAGTATTGTCACGGTCTTGCACAAGTCTATTAACCTGTTTGCCTCTGGCAAGTAATTTTTTTAGTGGGTGGATAAAATCATTCTAATGTGTGGTTTTCATCATTGTCAAGATGTGGTTGGACAAGTTAGATACTGTGCCTATACACCTCTACCTCGATATAATGCTGTCCTCGGGAGCCAAAAAATAGGTGAAACCGCATTATGTCGAACTTGCTTTGATCTGCTGGAGTGCGCAGCCCCCCCTCTCCTCCCGGAGCACTGCTTTACCACGTTATATCCGAATTCGTATTATATCGGGTCACGTTATGTCGAGGTAGAGATGTATTGTGCCTGGACAAGTAAATGTTCATGATGCTTTTGCCACTCTGCAACATAACAGACAAATGCCAAATACAGTCCCATGGGTTGTATAGTCACTAACTGGAAGACTTCCTATAATAGATGCTCTGTGCATAAGGAGAGGGAGGGGACTTGTACATCAATTCAGAGAGAGTTCTAGATGTAAGGGAGAGCACGGCACGAAAGAAGGTCTGAGAAAGATATAGGCAGCTCGGGAGAGAGGCTAGGATGACCTTCAGGTGTGTCTACACTAAAGAGACTATACTAGCATAGCTACTCTGGTAGAGCTATACTGGCATAGCCCCACAATGTAGATGCAACCTACACTGACAGAAGAGGTTTTTCTGTCAGTGTAGGAACATCATTTCCCTGAACATTAGCTCCCTCAGTGGAAGCACTCTTCCATCGACATAACTGTGTCTACATGGAGGTTATGTTGGCATAGCTACAGTGGTCAGCGGTGTGGTTTATTCACACCTCTGACTGACTTAGCTATTCCAGTATAATTTTCAAGTGTAGACCTAGGCTGAGGAAATGGCTATCGGAAGTCAATGGCTGGTGTGAAGTTGCAGAATTCTGTTATCGTGGAAATGGCAAGCCTTTTGCAGGGGTTCAGGCAGGGGAATACGTGGCTGGAAAGGAAGATGACCTTGGTGAAGTTCTGAACAGGCTGGAGGAAGGGAGAGGTTGCACTAATCAAATTGCGAGATGTAGAGCATGGACTTACATTTACAGTATTTGTATTCTTTTTCAGGGAGGTTGAGCTCTGTGGGAGCACAAAGACAGAAAAAGAATGCCTGTTGTGTGGCCAACCCTTCTGGATCTCAGCAGGGATGAATGCAAGAGGATTCTTCGCAAACTGGGTACAGTGAGATGCAATTTGTGGGTCTCTGCTTCCTCCATCCCACTGGCTGCTGGGACTTTGTGTATCTATCTCTGTTTATAGACTCACCAGCCCACTGTCTTCATTAAACACTTTCATATGTTTGCAATCTATTTATAAGATACAGAAAGTGATCAGTAGGTGTCAGTGTTTTCATAGCTCTTGCTTTGATAGTATTTGGTAGTGTTGGATGCTCTTTATGGATTCAATGAATAGAGCTGGTTATACACCTAATTTCATAGAATCATTTTAATTGGATGGTACCTACACTGCAAATTATGATGTTTTCATGCACATTAATGTGTAATAGGAGACATTTCTGTCAAAAGTGAGTAACTCCTCAGTTTGCTATTTCCACATATCTGATTAATTTCCTACCTGCTTTTTTGGTTTTATATAGAGAAAACATATGAAGGTCAAAATGAATCTTGCAATGCTACCCATGTTTAGTTGTGTCAGTGTTTTGAGTTACATCAGTAAAACGACTGTAATGCAGATTCTCAATGAAAGAAAATGTCCCACAATACAATATTTCCAATCTTCAATTACAGGACGACAGGAATTGGCTGTGAGATGTGAAAACAATCTCCTCAATTAGTTTAATGGTCATAACATTAGGAGCCTATTGAATTGCTGTAGCCATGCATCGAATTCTGGATGCTTTGCCCAAATGAAAAGGGCTATCAGTAAGAAGGTTTCTGGGTGTTATATCCGTAATAACATGCATATGTAGTAAGGCAACTGTACTTAATAGCCTTTAATAGCATTTTAGTATTGGAAGAAGAAAAATCTTAGTTTTCTTTTCAGACTTTCATTTAGGCAACAAAGTCTAGTGGTTGAACACAGTAGAGGGAGTTGAGATTAGATATTTGAGATTTTCTACTGACTCCCTATGTGAAAATCACTTGGGCAAATCACTTAACCTCTCTGGGCTTTATTTTACCCATCTGTAAAAAAAGTGAAGTACTGTACTACATAGCTTGCATCAGAGGCATGAAGGTTGATGTTTGTAAAGCGCTTTGAGGTCCCCAGATTATGCTATAAAACTATTATTATTAGCTGAGAGAAAGGGGTGAAACTATTTTCTCTCATCTTGTTCGGTTATCTGGGGGAGGGGGTTCTGTTTTTAAGAGACAACACATTGAGTATAGAATCTGAACCATTATTTTTATTATTTAAAAATTTATTACTTGTATTGTGATAGCACCTAGAGGCCCTAACTGAGATTGCAAGTGTACAAACAGAGACAGAGGCTTATATTATCGGAAAGAATTTTGTCTAAATAGACAAGATAGACAAGGGAGTGGAAATGGAAGCACAGAGAGGTGAAGTGACTTGCCCTGTAGCAAGGTCACAAAGCAGGTCAGTGATAAAGCAAAACATATAGCCCATGTTTCCTGACTTCCAGTCCAGTGCTCTATCCATTAGACCACTCTGCAAGGCTGAGATACTCCATAGTAAATTAAACACCATAGCAGATTTTAGAAAAATGTGTCAATACTTAAATCATATCTTAGTGTGATATCTAGCACTGTCCTGAGACCTTTGCAGTACATAGCTAGTTCTTTTTTGAACCGTGTTATAGTCTTGGCCTTCACAACATCCTCTGGCAAAGAATTCCACAGGTTGACTGTGCGTTGTGTGAAAAAATACTTTCTTTTGTTTGTTTTAAACCTGCTACCTATTCATTTCATTGGGTGACCCCTAGTTCTTGTGTTATGAGAAGGAGTAAATAATACTTCCTTATTTACTTTATCCACACCAGTCATGATTTTATAGACCTCTATCATATCCCCCTTAGTTGTCTCTTTTCTAAGCTGAAAAGTCTCCTCATACGGCAGCGGTTCCATACCCTTAATCATTTTTGTTGCCCTTTTCTGAACCTTTTCCAAGTGCAATACATTACTTTTGAGATGGGGTGACCACATCTGCACGCAGTATTCAAGATGTGGGTGTACTGTGGATTTATATAGAGGCAATATGATATTTTCTTTCTTCTTATCTATCCCTTTCTTAATGATTCCCAACATTCTGTTAGCTTTTTTGTCTGCCGCTGCACATTGAATGGATGTTTTCAGGGAACTATCCACAATTACTCCAAGATCTCTTTCTTGAGTGGTAACAGCTAATTTAGACCCCAGCATTTTATATGTATAGTTGGGATTATGTTTTCCAATGTGCATTACTTTACATCTGTCCTGTGATCTTCACTGTCTGCCAAGATGCTAAAACATAAATTTAAAGGTCTTAATGTAGTGGCTCTCCATAAAACAAAACCAACCTTAACTAAGACATTGAGTGATTACTGGGTAAAGTAACTTCATAGTCTAAACACAGAAAAATACTGTAGTATCTCTCATATTACCGTGTGGTACCTTAGCAAATGTTGACTTTAAAGACAACAATTGGACTGGTATATAAAATGCTTCTTCATCCGAGCCTTAAATACTTAAGCAGTCATTGTCTGCCCAATGCCCTGGTTTGGGGGTTATGGTTGAGCAAAGTGTGTCTTTTCTGTTTTCCCCTAGGTTTAGTCGGAACTGGGGTGGGTGTAGGAATTGTTTTGGCCATGGTTCTCTGGTTGTGTAAATTGGGTCCACTGGACTCACTCGCTGACAGCTTTTGTAAACAATATACAAATAATAAATCTTGCTTATTTTGGCAGCTATTATCTGACTGCTATTTGTGCTCTAGTCAGTCTTTTTTGTTATTGTTTCTGTCCCTATTAATACTTATTTTTATGTTAACTGGGATTTGATTTTGTTGGTCTGTATAGCTATGTACAGTGTGGAAAGGGTTTAGATTGCTAATTTAAAACGAGGCTTTCAGTCACTTTTTTTTGTGAAATGTTCAAATAATGTGCCCCATGATTAGGATTATATATTTTGACTGAGTGGTATTTCCATGTTCTGCTCTTCAGCATTTTCTGTAAACTAAAGAATAATGTTAATCATTTTTCAGTGTTCAATCAGTTCATTGTCTTTGATGTATTGGTTGCACATTAGAGATCTGAATGTTTCTTGTTGCTTCAATGTGTTAGCATTCTTTTCTGCTTTAAATAGTTACATATGTTATGGAAATTAAGCAAGACACATTGACAAGAAAATTTATACGGCAGTCTAAAAAGCTGTCATCCCCTCATTAAAGAGGAATGTTATAGGGAAGATTAGTTTTTCTTTTGATAGAAGTAACTTTTTCATGAGTAAAGTCAGTTTTCAGAATGGAGAGAGGTAAAGTATCCCCCAGGAGTCTGTACTGGGACCAGTCCTATTCAACATATCCATGAATGATATGGAAAAAGGGGTAAACAGTGAGGTGGCAGAATTTGCAGATGATACAAAATTATTCAAGTCCCAGACTGTGAAGAGCTACAAAAGGATCTCCCAAAACTAGGTGACTGGGCAACAAAATGGCAGATGAAATTCAATGTCGATAAATACAAAGTAATACTCATTTGAAAACATAATCCCAACTAAAACCTCATCTTTCCTATGGAGTTTTGTTAAAGATATTATGAATATTTCATTTACTCCTGGAAAATTACATAGTACTTTACAAAAATAGGGCCTGATCTTTCAAGTCCCTCTGCATGTGGCACTCCTACTGGCATCAGTGGGAGCACTCTGTGTGGAAGGCTTGCAGGGTTGGTCTTTGTGGCACCTGGTCATAGTCTTTTAAACTGCTTTCTAGAGAATCTGCTGTGAAATCACAACAAAATATGCTGCATATAACAACTGTACACGGCAGAGTAACTTGCTGAAATAGTTCTGAATCATCAGTCTCTCGTAGAGAACACTGCATTTTTGAAGGAGTAACATACTCCTTTTTTAAATAAGATGTTAATACATTAATAGCAAATCTATTGTATTTAAACCCATGATTTTATTTTTCCCTTTTTGCTGTTAATGGTTAAGAGCTAATCATATTTCTATATTTCCTTAGAACTGGAGGCATATGCTGGAGTTATCAGTGCCTTGCGTGCACAGGGGGACCTTACCAAGGGATAAGAAAGACCTTCTTGGAGAACTCTCCAAAGTGCTTAGGTAAACCTCACTCTACTTATGGTAAATGTGGTGAATATATAATTGGTTTATGGCCTGTTTTCTTTTAAAAGCATTGCACACACTTCCTACCAGGGGCATCTTCTGTTCTTAAAATGAATTAATAATCAGAAGGGAGACTCCAGAAACAATATAGTGGGAATTCCATATTTATTTTTCTTTCAAAGATTCCTGGTTACATTTGCTTATCTTGCAAATGAAATTTTTTTCCTCACTTCCATCCTTGTAAGATTGCAACCCAGAATTGGGAATCCTGCCATGTAGCCGCTAATGTAATCTCTAGTAACTGTGGTGAAATCCTTTCTATTCTCTAGGCCAGAGAATTATTTCTTTTACCTTCTGAATAACAAAAGACTTTATTTTCGCTGTCACAGGGGAGATAAGCAAGTGGCAATCTCTAAAATGTAAATGCTGACCCTTCCATCCACCAGAGTGGAGCTGTTTCTAACATTTTCATTTTCGCTAACAGGATCAGATAAATATATTTGTCTTTTTGTATCTAAAATATATTGGCTGCTTTCTTTTTTGACAGCATTTCAACTGAGCGCCATCGTGCTGAAGTTCGGAGAGCCGTAAATGATGAACGGCTAACAACTATTGCGCATAAGTAAGCTATTAGTCATACTGCACATGACTTCCATAAGGCACCAAATAGTCTTCCCATTGGACAGGCCTTTATCTTTTAAACCAAATACTAGATTTTAAACCACTAGCAACCTTGAAGGGATAACACAGCTGACAATTGAAATAGTACATGTAACTATACCCTCAACTGTTGCAGCTCTGTAGTCTGTACTACAGGAAAATGTGTGGAAGTTGTTTAAATCTGTAGTTAACAAGTCAGTGTTTTGTTCATGAAGTGGTTAGGAGCCAGCTGAAAATGGGGCCCCATTGTGTTGTATATAAACATAGTATAAGAGAGAGTTCCTGCCTTGAAGAGCTTACAGTCTAAATAGATAAGACCAAACAGAAGGTTGGGAAACTGACATAATGTATATGGAGAGTGAACAATATGATGGCTGCAAACTTCATGTTTGTGCCATGATTTTAGTTTTGTTTAAATCCTTTTGATGGGGTTATGTTAGGAGGGGATTAGCTAAATGGAAGGATAAAGGATCTTTGACCTTGAGGGAGGGGGTCAGAGAGGGTGGAGCAAACAGCCAGTCAGCACTGGGGAAAATGTTTGGAATGAAAATTTCAGAAAGCAGTCTGTCATCATCACTGCCCATTGGTCCCTGCTTGAACTGCCCTGTGCAGCTGCTGTGGCAGTTTCAGTTTTGGCTGGCTCCTCCCTGCGTTTTCTTTCCCAAAGCCCACAATTGCTGTGGAGAAGGGGATGCTCCCTGGGTCCTAGTTCCCTGTGGGGAGGGGAGTGGTCTCAGTTCTGGGTTCTGGAGGGAAGTGTGGCCTGGCTGGCCCATATTTATCCCCCGGTTCAGCAGGACATGGTTGAACTGCTTTCTGCAGCTGTTGTGCCAGTTTCAGTCTCTAGCTGGCTCCCTACAGTTTTTTTCCCCAAAGACCACATGATTGGGGGAGAAAAGCGGTGCTCACTTATCTTTAAGTGAAATACTTAGTACTCTTAGTATCTAAAAGTAGTTTTCAGAATGAAATAAATGGCTTGAGAGACTTTTTATTTTATTTTAAGGGGGAAAGAAATGCCTTACATTATTTAATGTCCAGCTAGAGTATAAGAACTTATGAAAATAAAGAGAAATTAACATAATTAAAACAGCTATAGATTTTAAGTGTGAATCTTACAACTCTGAAATTATCGGGGAAAAAACAATAAAACAATCATGTATAAGGAGCCTATCATATCAGTTAGCAATATTTTGAACTGAGACTCACCAAAAGTGGAATATTCTTTTGTAAACTGTCATTTAAAAGTTTCAGGTTTAAAGGCTTGGAAATAGTGTGTCCTATTAGACAACTACATAGCATAACAGTTTAGATTTTTTTCTTTAAAAAGAAAAAGTGAATAAGGAATAGCTTACGTATGAAAACAATCAGGATTGATTTCTTAAATTGAATTTCCTGTTAAATTCTGATGATGATGTCAGCCGTTTGCAAAACTCATGCAGTTTCTGCCTCAAGGGGATTAAAATCTAGAACACACGGTAGGAAACCCAAAGGAGGTGCTAGTTTATGGAATGCCATATCTTTTTAAAAATCTCTTTCCTGTCTTTCACACTGAGAAATAATGTAGCAGAGAGCTCATTTGGCTTATGTGGATTAATTCTTAATGATGCTAGGAAAGTGCAGTATTACCATTAGATATATTGGAGTTAGCACTCTTAATATAAACTCATGTTTGCAGTTATTTTCAACAAAAAAATTAAATTTTACCTCAACTGATGCTAATCGGTAAGTACTGTAAGAAAATTTATGGAAGATGCTGAAACAAATCTGGGTCTAACTGAGAAATAGATGGACTAATTAGTGCTAATCTTTTTACTAGTTACTTAGTACTGTTAGCCAGAGTTAAAAGTAGTTTTTCAGTATGTAGTAATAAATCAAATGAAACTTTAATTGAAAACTATAGTCTACAGTTCTGGCTTCATTGATTCAGTGAAATGGTCATACAAAACAGAATCAATTTTGCCCAGCAGAAAAAGGGGATGACATGATTCTTAAGCATTCTATTTTGTCTTCAAACATTGAGACTAATTAGAAGTTAAGACCAGGTGGTTGGCCTCTGTTAAGGGAAATGCACGGGCTGAGTCATTTGACATGTTGCAATCTTGTTTGGGCTATTGTGATGGGGCTTAGAATTTTTTTAATTAAGTAGAACGAGATCTGCCTTAGAAACAATTATTTCTATAGCACTCTTAGTTTGATGGCTGTTTCATGAACGTTGTGCTTCTGATTTTTTAGTTAGTTTGAGGAGTATAATACGCACTCATTTGCAAGACTGCCTTTTTAATTATGATTTACTGTACAGATTCTAGGCTGTCACTAGAAGAAAAATCCTGTTATCTAGTAGCTTTTCTCTATTGAAAAAGCATATTTAGTCAGTAAATGTGCTGGATAAGAGAACACTTTCACATAATATGCATTTCTGTTTAGTATGTCTGGACCGAACAGCTCTTCAGAATGGTCTATAGAAGGTCGTCGACTGGTGCCGCTGATGCCACGGCTGGTTCCACAAACAGCCTTTACTGTAACAGCTAATGCTGTTGCCAATGCAGCTATTCAGCACAATTCATCTCTTCCAGTTCCTGCAGAAACTGGGAACAAAGAAGGTGAGGGAATCCCAGTATCTTACTGCAAGTAGTGACGATGTGAGAAGAATAATTATACATTTTAAAGGGACACGGTCAGCTAGCTTAGATCCAAAGTGTGTAGGTTATATTTAAAACAAACAAACAAAAACCCTGTTCCTTCATTTTCATACAATATTAATAGAAATGTTTTCATGAAATCTGATTGGATTTGCAGTCCCTTTTGGAGTTTTTGCAACCTAAATGTAGTATTGTGCTAGTGCAGTGGTTCTCAAACTGGATCGGAACCCCAAAGTGGGTTGCGACCATATTTTAATGGGGTCGCCAGGCTAGCTTAGACTTGCTGGGATCCGGGGCTGAAGCCTGAGCCCCGCCACCTGGGGCCGAAGCCCAAGGGCTTCAGCCCTGGGTGGCACAGCTCAGGTTACAGGCCCCCTGCCAGGGGCTGAAGCCCTTGGGTTTCAGCTTTGGCCCCCCCCACCCAGGGCATCGAGGCTCAGGCAGACTCAGACTTCAGTCCCCCTTCCTGGGTCGTGTAGTAATTTTGGTTGTTAAATTACTAAAAATGAAAGAAATAAAGAAGTTGTTACAGGTCCCTTTAAGGTATAGTGATATTCAGAAAAGTGACTTTGTAAAAATGACGTGGATATCCATTCTTATTTTGTCACTCCAGATCAAATGTACTAAATTACCAAGTCAAAAGATGCCTCCCCCATCCTCCCCTTACCCCCTACAAACTCCATCTAAGCTGCAACGTTTTATTTTACTTTGTTTTAGGGGTTTAGTTACAGTATATTTACACAGTTACAGAAAACCTAACACTTCTCAAATTAGTATTTTTTCTGACAGATTTGGGAAACATTATACCACTTGCTTTCTCTTACTACTCCTTGTAAACATCAATGTTACAGCAATTAAACAAGGAAAACCATTTTAAAGGACATCTATCTGTCTTAATTTAAAGAGGGTTTTCAGATTGATTCTAGGACTGACATGCCACTGAGCACAATGCAATAACAATTTTATATTTATATCACTGATCTACGCAAGAGTCCTAAGCACATTAAAACAAAGTTAATTAAAATACTAAACACATACAAGATAAACTATAATGTAAAACACACAATCGGTAGAGAAGAAAATAATATCAATGGTGTCTTTAAGGTCTTCTCAAATAAAAATGTTTTAAAATCTACTTCGAAAGCAGCTAATTCTATGGTCGTTCTTGGGTCAGAGCAGCCAGCACTCCACAGTAGCAGGACCGCAGAGGCAAGGATGTGGATAGTGACCCAATAAGCCTTAGGCTTTAATTTATCTTCAAAGCTGTCAAAATAGTGCTAGGATAATGAAATTCTTTACTTTAGTTATGTGGAAGGTGTCTTCTCTCCTCTTCAGTGGTGGTTTGCTATTCCTACACAAGTACCACTTCAACCCCAACATCTACCCCTGTTCCAAGTGGCAGTGTAGCAACAGTGAAGTCCCCCAGACCTGCCAGTCCAGCCTCCAATGTAGTCGTCTTGCCAAGTGGAAGTACTGTTTACGTCAAAAGTAAGTGATACCAGTAACTTTGATTAACAAAACAGGAAGGGGATGGTCTTGTGGTTAAAGCACAGGACTCTGAGTTAGATAATCTGGGTTCTAAACCCAGCTCTGCCTCAAACTTACTGTGTGACTTTGGACAAGTCACTTTACTGATAAATACACTACGGCACAAAGATGTTAAAGTGGGACTAATACTTCCCTTCCTCATGAGGGTATGTTGAGGCTCAATTCATTGATTGAAAAATACTCTGAGATTTTGATATCTGGGATAACAGAAGTACAAAGTGTGAAAAATAAAACCTAGGAATTGCCATGCAGTAGTGGATCATTTGTCCATCTAGTTTGGAATTTTGCCTCTGATGTGGTCATACCTAATGCTTCAGAGGAAGGTTTCCCTTCCACCTCTTCCCCAAAGTATGCACCTAGCCTACAGTGCAGTCATTTATCATTTGAGGGAGTTGGAAGGAAGAGAAACCCTTTTTCCCTTCTCAGATAAGCAGGAGAATTTCTAGGAATATCATTTTCCTACAAGCACTCATGTGCCCTAAAGCAGCAAGTGATATGGCATGTCAAGGTAAAGGGCCAAATCCTTACCTGATGTAAATCAGCTAAGGATTTGACCCTTTGTGGATATTACCAAAAGAATATAAATTTAAAATAATATAGTTTTCCTATCTAAAATTAAAATTGAAATTGATAACCTGTGTTAAGGCGTAAATGGGCTATAATCTACTGAAATAATTTAAAGGAAAAAATATGCTGCATCAATGAGCCATCCTCAAATTTTTATTCTGCTTTTAATTACATACAGAATCAGAGAGGAAACAACTTTTGAGGTCAACTCAAGCTTTATAAATTCACAATGTAATGTAATTAATTAAGTAATTATCTGTTATTATTTTCAGTGTTTATAATGGAATGAATGCAATTTACATTTTCCAGAAAAGCTTTTGCTGTAACTAAACTGAAACCAAAAGTAATTAGCAGGTGCAGAGAGAATCTTTTCTTCATTTTGACTAGTTCAGTCAAAATTGAGAAACTGGGAGTTGAAAAAGGAGGAAAGTTTGTCTAAGAATAAAAACCAGGTGGGAGATGATGAGATTAATTCTAAATACTTGAAGGATATGAGGTCAGATTTTCAAAGGTATTTAGGTATCTGAAGATGCAGGTAAGTGTCTGCTGGGATATTCAAAAATGCCTAAGCAGGTTAGGCAGCTAACTCTTACTGAAATCACCTTAGAAAGGCATCTATACATCTTTGCAATATTTTGCCCACGGTGACCAGAAACAAACCAATTCACTAACTACAATTAATACTTCCTTTGCTTAAGAAATCAGTTTAAAATGCAAAACATGTTTTGGTAAACTTGTTTTTTTATGTATCCAACACATTTAAGGTAATTTTATTTAATGAAGAAACAATTTAAAAATGCTGCTTTTGTACAGTTTAATTCCAAATTCCATTCAAGAGCTGCTTGACACAAATGCCAGGTAGAAATGACCACCTAATACATAAGAATGGCATCAATTTCTAACATTTAAAAAAAATATTAAAATTAAGAATTTGAATAAATGTATGTTAAGCTATATGAATACTAAAATAAATGTACAGATATAGTATATCCTCCTGGTTAGCAAAAAGAAATACCACATTTAATGCTTGTATCAATCAATGAGAATAAACCTTTCTTTAGAAAAATAATTAAAGTACAAATGCAAATGGAGATTAAAACTGATTATTTAAATCAAGGTTTCCTACTTGCAGTTATAAATCACTTGGATTTAAATCAATCTGCCCTACCTACTATAGAAAGGTACATTGTTTCAGATGTAAGATCTAGAAAAACTGATATTCTCTTAGCTCAAACAACTGAAATCTAAACCTTAAAAAAATGCTATCACATAGTAAGGACAGCTTACGATTTGATCGCGAAGGTCACGGAAGTCACATAATCTGTGACTTCCACAGACCTCCATGACTTCAGCCTGCAGTGTCTGGGAGCTGCAGGGCACCCCCACTGCCCATGGTTACCAGGAGCTGCAGGGTACCCCCACCGCCTGGAGTGGCGGGGGCCCTGCAGCTCCCCAGCCCCCACAGTTGTGGGGGGGGAATAACCAAGAAGTCCCCAGTTCCCGCAGACAGGATGGGAAGGGGGGAGGGATCCCCGGCAGCTCCTCAGCTGCTGCTGCTGGCCGGGAAATCCCCCACAGCTCCCCAGCCTACACATGGACGGCGGGGGAATCCCCCGCAGCTCCTCAGCCGCTGAGGGTGAGTGTCCCTCCCTGCTCCCAGCCACTGGGCAGGCCAGAGGCCGCAGTTCCCAGCCACAGCAGGGCAGGGTGCTGGACCCTTCTCCCTCCCCATTTTGTCATGGACGTTTTTAGTAAAAGTCAGGGACAGGTCACAGCTTACGTGAATTTTTGTTTATTGGCCATGACCTGTCCCTGACTTTTACTAAAAATGTCCATGACAAAATTGTAGCCTTAGTAATGACTATAAGACTGGTCTGTATCATTTGTTTGAATCCAGGGATGAAAAAATCTCATCAATCCCCTAAATCAGCCAATCCCTCACTTTTTTGCATTTGAATTTTTGCTGAGAGCAGATTTAATTCTTCTTTTGCAAGATGAGGATCTGAAAGCTAGTGTCAGTGGTTCAGCAGAGTGTTGAAACATAGATTTTCTGCCCTTGAGGTGGGTGCTTGTGGGGGTGAAGAAACTTGTTTGAGGCAAAAAGTTTCTTTTGCACGATTGCATATTGATAAAAGTTTTGCTTTTTGACATGCAGTGAGTAAAATGTGCTGAAATAGTCACTGCAAAGTGGGATGTGGTCTTGGCAGCAGGAATGCATCATATGATAAATAGATCTTCAGAAGCTATTTGAAGGAGAAAGGGATGCTGCTGCAAGTGTACTGGGTTGCAATAAAGAAGGCACAAGGGGCAAGGGGGGCATGGTGTGACGAAGCAAACGGGAAATTTTAGTTACATGTGTATAATTGCCATAGATGAAAACTGCTGGAAAAGCTGAATGTGGAGTTCTGAACAGGAATGCACTTGAAAAATGTCTTCCCCATCCCCCTCACACATATGCAGTCTCATTGGTGTAACTTCTGCCATTTTTACACAGAATAGCAAAACCCCAACACTGGCTGTTACATTCTTTTAATTTCTTATCCAGAATTAAACTGCAAAATTACTCAATACCCTTGGTTGTTTATTTTTAAGAGAAATTCAGTATTATGAGAACAAGTGTGATCTGTGGGAGGGAATTGGAACAGCTGATTCTGTTCTCAGGTCTGTCATGGACTTGCTGTGACCTTTGGAAGGTTTTATCTTCTCTCTGCCTTGTGTTTTCCCATTTGAAAATGGATGTAGGACTTAACAAGCTTAATGTTGTTAGAAAGCAGTGAGAGATGGTCAGATGAAAAGTGCTATATAATTGAAAAGTCCTGTTCTTCCAGGTGTCAGCTGCTCAGATGATGATGAAAAGCCCCGTAAAAGGCGACGAACTAACTCTTCTAGTTCCTCCCCTGTTCTTCTGAAAGAAGTCCCGAAGGCTGTCACTCCTGTCACTAAAACTATCACGGTGCCTGTAAGTGGCAGCCCCAAGATGAGTAATATCATGCAGAGCATTGCCAACTCCTTACCGCCACACATGTCTCCTGTGAAAATAACGTTCACTAAACCCTCAACACAGACGACAAACACCACAACACAGAAGGTACGTGGGGGAATCCGCCAAGCATTACATAATTGTATTTCCATCAATGAATAAGACATGATATTTAGCTTTTTCCGCTCTACAAAAGTGTCAAGCTATATTTTAAGGATTGTTCTTTGGGTAAGATAATCCATCTTTTTAAAACAAAAATCTTGTGTGAATTTAGTGCACCTTTGTGTGAAGGGACCTGGATTGACAGTCCTGGAGACTGAAGCCCTCTTTTTATCCACAGAACAGGTACAGCACAGGCAGTGGGAGTGCAAGCTTCCCCCACACTGCCCCACCAATGTGCATCAACCCTGACCTGAAGGGATCCCTTCTAGGGATGAGAGGGAATTTAGTCTCCATGCTCATTCAATTATTGGCCTCTCTGGTGAGACTGCCAACAAGTTTCCAGTTAGTACCTTTTGTGGTGTTGGGTTTTGTGATATGGGCACTAGTCCACTGAGAACTGGATCACATAGGCCAATGAGCAGCCATCAGATGGTAACAACTTTTGGTCAAAGGTAATCTTTCTTATTTCTCTTTTCCTTAATTAAAATTATTCTATTTTTGCAGTAGTAAGACCCCAGGAAACTGGGTTTGGTCTTTCCATGGCCCACTCTACTTTGTGTAGGAGATCATGCCTCCGGGAGGCATGAGATCTCTCTTTGGCCCCAGCAGGACTTGTTGCTAGATCTGAACAGAGATTGTGGGGATGTTATTTTCCTTTTCATTCTACTCCCTTTACATAGTATTGTGGCAGTTGAGATCAGCTGAGGTACTCAAACTAACAGTGCCCATGTTTGACCATAATGGGGCTGGAGGCAAGCAGTCCTCAGCTGTAGAATGTTTCTAAAATGTGTTCTGCATTTGTTGATTTCCAGATCATGCTGCAAGACCTACTTGTTCTCTCAGGCTTTTCGGGAGGGTTTTAGATTTTGGACTGGTCCCAAATGACATTTTGTTTTTGATTTTGTGGGTCCAGAGTATTGGCTGGATGTATTTTAATTAACTAAAATAAATAAATCCTGTTTAAATTTAAACACAATAGTGACAGTGGAAACACTGCAAACCAAATTCATCTTTGGCGTATCTATTGATTTCAGTAGATTTACATGAGAGATTAATTTGACCTTGACACAGAGAGTATTGATTTAGATTGGCCTCTAGAAAGTATTTTTCAAATAATGAGCGATTCTTGACTTTTGAGCCCAACCTCCACACCATAATCTTTGTGTTAGCCTCAGATTTAATTTCTAACTTTATGTGGATTAGCATACTTCCCATGTCCTGATTTTGGATGTTTAGTTCAGTGGACTAACTTCCTACATTTTAGTATGCAGTGCGTTTATTCCTGGCCTTTCATAATGTCTGTTCAGTTGTGTAAAGTAGGGGATGCTTTCATTTAGTTCCCTGAAGTCCAGAAGTATCACTGCTCAAACAAATGTCTGCTGGAAATGCATTCTGGTTAATGGTATGCAAATGAGCACAAGCACATCAAATAATAAGGTCTTGCTTTCCATGCAGCAAATATTATTTGGATTAAAGTCTGGTTTAACCAGCGACAGAACATTTGTCTGGATGAACACAAGTTGGAGTAATTTATTGTTTGTACTAAATATAACTAACTTGAAGAAAAGTGGGGGGCTTGGTGTACTCATCTACATATCATTATCCAAGATATATTCATTATCCATACTACTTATACATCTTATTCCTTTTTCAGAGCAGGTGCTTTGAACTCTGTAAATAAAGTTTTAGCCTGTGCTTTAGTATCGTCTATATTCAAAATGAAATTGAAAAGCATAGATTATAAAGGAGGATGTAGTAGTTCAAGATGAAATAGACCTGCAAAGGAAAGGTACAGGCACAAGATAGGATATTAAGCTATTAAGATCTGATGATTCACTGTCCTTTCTGAATGGAACAATAGATGCCATCTTTTTGAAAATGGAAATACTGTTAATTTTATCTTCTTTCACGCAGGCCTTTACAGAAAGGTATTTGTCACTTGTTCTCAAAAACATTCCAACAGATAATATTTCTCATTTTGCTTTATATGCACACTTCAGTTTATAAGTGAAATCTCACTCAGGTCCCATGCTAATACACGATGACAAGATCTAAACTTGTTCTAATAGGAAGTGTAGTAGTTTTTGTGTATTGCATAATTTGTTATCGTGATACTCTTTTAAATTGAGTTTGTATATCATACTTTCCAACCAAAGCGATAATGCTGCTTTAGTAATTTTAAAGGATTATTGAGGTTTGGGATTAGGCTTGAATTTAATATGCAGTTCTTTAAACAATAAGTGATGTTGAATGTGGTTCTTGAGTTCTTTTATACCAGTTTTCAGGATTGTGGTGATATTTCAGTAGGTTGGAGGAAAATTCATAGATCCCACTGAAAGATGTCAATGATCTTCCATTTTTCTATTGCATAAAGCTTTATACAAAAGAGGACAATCTAGTAACTACTCTTACTAGTCAAGTCTAGTGGCAACTGTTACCCTCGCATCTTTTTTCAATACCTCTTGACAAAGTGATTAGAGGACCAAATTTTTGGCATTTCTCAAAACGGCCAAGATTAGCTTCAGTATATTTTCAATGAATGTCTTTAACAAAATAAACAGATGTTCCTCTTAAAAATCTGAATAACGTACTGTCGGTCAGCTAATCAAATAACCTTTTATCAGTGAAAGGATGTTGTACAATTTCAGTATTCCTCACTAGATTCATTTTATCATCTTTACATATGTGACAAACCCTCCTGAAATTCCAGACATGGAGCAGTTTTGAGTGATGGTGACAGTCAGGCTTCAGACTTTGTGCCCCAGTGAGATGAACTGAAACACCTGTCTTGTTTCAATTTGTCAGCAACATCAGATAACACTACTTTAGTCACATACATACTGTTTTCTTCATAACCAAAAAGAAAAAACTTATCCATTTTAAATTAAAATACTTCAGAAACTGATGGATTAGCTGCCCTGCCTCCAACCAAGAGAAACTTTTTATTTGCTGCTGGCAAGTGTATTCAGATCTGCAAATGAACTCTAAACTAAGAGCACTAAAACTAAATACCAGTGTGTGTAGTGTATTACAAAGTTGCTATAAAACTTCTAAACACATGTGAGTGATTAATTAATTTTTGTTGTTTCAGGTGATCATAGTAACCACCTCTCCAAGTTCAACATTTGTACCCAACATTCTCTCCAAGTCTCACAACTACGCAGCAGTCACTAAACTTGTTCCAACATCTGTCATTGCCTCAACTACTCAGAAGCAACCAGTGGTTATAACAGCTTCTCAGTCCTCTTTGGTCAGTAGCAGCAGTAGCGGCAGCAACTGTTCCACTCCCTCTTCCACTCCAAATACCATTGCTGTGACTGCTGTGGTGTCATCAACGCCATCAGTGGTTATGTCAACGGTAGCACAAGGTATGACAGTTGTTGTTTATCAAAACTTTTACTGGTATAGTAGTCCTTGTTTGAGCTTCCTTTATTTCCCTACCTGCTTGATGATTCTTTTTACTGCTTAAATGTTAATTGAGCAGAGTACACATTCCTTTGTTTGAGACAGACCTGTTTGCCGCTAATCTCAGTACATATACTTTGTAAAGTGCATGGAACATGGAAAACAATATGTATGCATCTGATTCTCAATGCAGCCAGTCCACTGTATTCTATAACCAAATCCTTAATCCAGATTTCTTCTCTTCCCCTCAACAATTAATATATGCAAATCGTATAGTTCCAAAGAGAATCTTGCCAGAAAATATTATACAGCTTTCCACTGTGAATGTGACTTAACTGCAGTATTAAAAACTTGTAACTGCAAACTGACTTGTATTAATCTTTAAAACACTCCCTGTGATAAATGAAGGGGGCGGGGGAGTAGCTCGCTTTTATGGACACCCAGCCAGCCAATTAGCTATAAAATCCCTGTTAGTAGCTGTTCTCTACTTGCTTTGCCTGTAAAGGGTTAAAAAGAAGTTCACAGGTAAAGGAAGGCACCTGACCAAAAAAGCCAATGGGAAGGCTAGAACTTTTTAAAATTGGGAAAAAACTTTCCCTTTGTGTCTGTTGTTGTTCTCCGGGGAAGAGGGGAACAGGGCAGCAGTTATGCTGTGAGAAGCTGAAGGCCAGGTATGAAAATCATCAGAATCCTACCTAGAATTGTTTATTTGGAACCCAGATATGTAAGTAGATCAGAAAATGTGTAGAAAGACGTGATTAGGTTTATTTTGTTTATTTCTTACGGCTTGTGGATTCCTTTGTGCTAACCCCAGATGCTTTTGTTGCTTGTAACCTTTAAGCTGAACCCCCCAAAAAATATTTTGTGTGCTTAATTTTTGGAATTCTTTTAAAAATCTAGCAATAGCCTAAGTTTTCAGATGTATTTTCTTTCTTTTTCTTTTTAATAAAATTTACCTTTTTTAAGAACAGGATTTGGATTTTTGTGTCTTAAGAGGTTGGTGCACATGTTTTTTAGTTAGCTGGTGGCAACAGCTGATTTATTTGTTTTTCTTTCTCAACTGTTCCCCAGAGGTGGGGTGAAAGGGCTTAAGGGTACCCCACAGGAAGGAATTCCCAAGTGCCCCTTCCGGAGTTCCGATAGGTTTTGCATTTGGGTGGTGGCAGCATCTACCCATCCAAGGTCAGAGAGAAGCTGTAACCTTGGAAGTTTAATACAAGCTTGGAGTGGCCAGTATAATTTTTAGAATCTTTGTGGGCCCCCACCTTCAGCACTTGAAGTGCCAGAGTGGAGAATCAGCCTTGACACTCCCCCTACCCATCCCAGATATGAAAAATAACTACGTTTTCTGGGGGTAATCTTTTGGGGAAATTTCTTTTTGTTTAGACAGGCTCATAAAATGAAACCCCAAAATAGATAAATCATAATACTTGGCATATCTAGTCTTCAGATCACTTTTTGAGTATTTACCAATTAATCCTCATAACGTTTCTGTGAGGTGGAGAAGTATTTATAAATTTTATCCCCATTTTAGAGTTAGGGAAACTGAGTAGAGAATGGGTTACCCAAGGTCAGAGGGAATCTGTCGGAGCTGGGATTTGAAATCAGGAGTTACTGGCTTCTAGTCATAACTAAATATGCTAGATCACGCTGGCTGTCATAAAGTACTTCTTCAAGGCCCATATTCTTCATTTTCTTCCCCTTCCTCCTCCTCTCCTAAGAGTGTTCACAGCCCCTTTTGGAACCCAAAGGATTCCCCTACTGTTTCCCTGCATTTCCCACCCTGTCTTTTCCTGTATTGCCATGAACTTTTCTTTTGGTATAGGATGATTTGATATAGGTTCTTCTATAGTTTGTCTGCATTCTTAATTTTGGTCAGAGGAGTTCAGAAAATAGTGATGCGAGGCATTTTTTTCCCTTACAGTATTTCTGAGGAAACCTTTGCGTTTATTATTTTAACTCCTTGAAGCAGGAAGATAACTGTCACACTCCACTTTCTGCATGGCAAAGTAAAAATGTCCGGTGACCTCCCAAAGGGCTGGCAAAAATGTGTTGCCCAGTGGAAGTGGTCTTTAGAATTATAGATTGAGCCAGATTCTACTGGAAACCTAGTCGGAGGGAGGAATGGAAATACTTTGAAGTGATGGCTTCAAATTGGAAGGTGGAGTTCTTATTGCAGGCTTTCTTTTAATCACTATTAAGGCTGCGAGTCTGTCACAGAAGTCATGGATTCCATGACTTCCCGGGATTTCCGTGACTTCTGCAGCGTCCGGTACAGCTGGCGCAGAGGCCACCTGAGCAGCCCAGGCAGCCCCATGGCCAGTCACACCAGCCGCTGCTGGAGCAGTCTCGGGCCACCGCGCCCCACCCCCAGCAGTAGCAGGAGTTCGGGTATGGGAGGGGGTTCAGCGAAGGGGTTTGGGTCACGGGAGGGGGTGAGGGATCCCGGGAGCACTTAACTCGGGGGGCTCCCCGGACAGCAGTGACATGTCCCTTGGCTCCCAGACAGAGGCGCGGCCAGGCAGCTCTGTACACGGGCTCTGCCTGCAGGCGCCGCCCCCGCAGCTCCCATTGGCTGTGGTTCCTGGCCAATGGGAGCTGTGGAGCTAGCGCTTGGGGTGGAGGCAGCATGCAGAGCCCCCTTGCTGCCCCTCCGCCTAGGAGCCGAGGGACATGTTGCCGCTTAGGGGGAGCCGCATGGAGCCAGGAAGGGAGTCTGCCAGCCCCCCTGCTGCGGGGGTCCCAGGCCATGCATTGCCCTCCTCCCCAACCCCCCCCCCCGTCCCCCTCCTCGAGCACCCATGGTGCCCTGACCCCCTTTCCCCCCCCAGCACTCAAGATTCAGTCAGGGGTATATAGTACAAGTCATGGACCGGTCATGGACTGTGAATTTTTCTTTACTGCCCATGACCTGTCCATGACTTTTACTAAAAATACCCATGCCTAAAATGTAGTCTGAATCACTATTACTATACAGGATTGTTATACCTTGATAAGTAGACTTGGATTTGCTTACCTTGTTCAAGACTGCTTCTGATTTCCAAGTTATGTATTAAACACATACTGTGAAATAGAGGGCGTTAGCTGGTTATCCTTCCTAAGACTACCACTCACATTGACAAACATTCTCGGTTAGTGTTAATGCTCTTGATGGCCCCATATTTTCTTTCAACCTCTAACAGTTTTTATTGCACTGTAAATGTTTTATTGTCTTGCAGTTTAAAAAAGGTCAACCTTGAAAGGGAGAGGTTATGTTAATTATACTTCAAAAAGCACAGAGTAGACTGCAAGCTCTTTGGAGCATGATCCTACATTAACTATCTCAGTGGCTCTCAATTTTTCCAGACTACTGTACCTCCTTCAGGAGTCTGAGTTGTCTTGCATAGCCCAAGTTACACCTCACTTAAAAACTACTTGCTTACAAAATCAGACATAAAAATAAAAAGTGTCACAGCCACACTGTTACTGAAAAATTGCTCACTTTCTCATTTTTACCATATAATTATAAAATAAATCAATATAAATATTGTACTTACACTTCAGTATATAGTATATAGAACAGTATAAACGTCATCTGTAGAAAAGTTTAGTTTGCCCTGACTTTGCTAGTGCTTTTTATGTAACCTGTTGTTAAAATTAGGCAAATATCCAGATGAGTTGCTGTATCCCGTGGAAGACCTCTGCATACCCCTAGGGGTACGCGTACCCCTAGTTGAGAACCATCTTACCCTGTTGTGCTGACACATTGATAACTTGCATAAAGTTTTCTTTGTCTCTAAATTTGGGTACTTTGGAATTGAAAGATGGCATTGCATCTTGTCAGATCTTGTGCATGCTTACATGTGCTTTTCACAGTATTAAAGGCAATGGAAAAGTGGCTATGTTGCATTTAAAGAACAGAAATTTGTTCACTTGGTTTATTGTTAAATCCACATTTGTTTGCTCTTTCACAGGTGTGTCCACGTCAGCGATTAAAGTTGCATCCACCAGACTACCTTCCCCAAAAAGCTTGGTGGGGACCCCAACCCAGATTCTAACACAGTTTCCCAAACAGCATCAGCAGACCCCAAAACAGCAGCTGCATCAAATACAACAGACCCAGCAGCAGCTGTCACAGTCTTCTCCTGTAGCACATCAGCAGCAATCACAACAGTGTCAGTTGCCACCTGGCATCAAGCCCACCATTCAGATCAAACAAGAATCAGGTAGTTGGAATTACACTTGGGCAATATTAGTAATGAGTGAAGTCTGACTACCATACAAGAACTAAAAGGGCTAAATTCTGCCCTGGAATGTGCACAGACAGCTCTCGTTGACGTCAGTGGGAGGCACCTCAGGGCAGAATTTGGCTCTGAAACTGGAAAAGGTGGTTAACAGAGCATGTGTAGCTAATAATTTTAGTTTACCTTTGTGGAAAAGTGCTTTGGTGTTTTTCTGTTCCCTCTGGTACAAAAGAGAATGAATCTCTTATTAAGTAGGAAGTTTTCTTTCTGCCTTTAGAGATTGTAAAGGTATACGCATGCTCTTGTAAACAATAGTTTGGTGGGCAACCTGGAAGATGGCAATTTTCTGAAGATTTAAACATTTGAGCAAACAAACAGCTTTTCAGCTGTATCACTTAAGCTTAAAGGTAATCCATCCACCCATCTCTTACTGCTACTATTGGGTTCAAAAACCAAAAAGTTACATTGACTTTTGTCATAGCAAATGCAGTACTTAGAACTGAAAGTTGGACTGGATTCTGTTTCTAACACTGATTCCTTTGATATATCCAATTCTGATTCTAGCTCTGGTTAATACAGTTGACTTTGGGCAAGTCACTTAGTCTCTCTGCATCAGTTTGATCTGTTTGTAAAATAGTTTACTAATACCTACCTCATGGGGTGTTGCAAAGCAATATTTGTAAAGCTCTTAGAAAATTTTAAGGAAAAGTGCTATAAAAGTGCAAAGTATTATTCAGTCCTTGTTTGATTTATATTAATGCACGTGAAATCAGCACTGTAGTAAGGGAACATATATATTTTTTCAGTTCAAGACCCTTTAGGTCAGAGTAACTAAAAAAGATAGGACCGCAGGGTGGTGGTGGGAATCTATGATAAAATGTCCCGTGGATTATGAGACCATAGCTTAGATAAAAAGTCCATTAATGAACACTATAAAATGCCTCCACTCCACAGTCATTGCTCACCACTTAATCAGTAACTATAATTTTTGTGTCTGCTCCATACAAAGAACTGGTACAGGAGTAGCAAGCACAAAAGAAGTTCAAATTTAAAATAGCTGCATTGTCTTGCTTCATTCTTTGTCTTTTACTATGCTTTTAAACTCAAGATGATTATCACCTTTTAAAATCACTCACATAAAGTCACCTTTAGCCTACCTTCTAATACGTATTTGCTGTGGAAAGCTTAGGTCAGATGTTTTAACTGAGATTTTGCTTTTTATCTAGTATTCCCTCTGTATTGACTCAATGAGGGTCAAGTAACTCAGCCAACAAATCAGTGCGTCTATTTAGCATAGAGTAGAACTCAGGACCCACTTGGCCTGGATAAACTCTTGCTCTGACTTCTAGATCATGACTACTTGAAACCTTTGGTTGCAACCCAAAAGTGTATCCCAAAGAGGTGTTTGCTGGGTCATGCCCCACAGGTTAGGAGTGGGGAAGAGAAGACAAATCCTCCTAGACAATATGGTCCATTAGAAGGAGAGAGGAGCGACTTGCTCACTCCCTCACTCTTTGTCTGTGGTCAGCCCCTGTCCTCATCCCAATTCCACTGCAGCTCCAAGGCAGCACCAGCTCAAGAGACGAGTTCAGAGTGGGAGGGAGAAGCCTCCTCACCCTGAGCGCCTGAATCCAGTGTCACCCTTGCTCCCAACAGCACTCTCATTTCTACATATTTTTGATTGCTATCAAAATGAAACTTAACAATTCTTAATAAAGTATATGATAATGAAGAGACTTAAACTGACAAATATATGGATGCATTTTTTAGATATTTCATTGGTTTGGGACCAACTTGATATTGATTAACGTAGTGGGTCCTGGGGAGATAAATTTGGTCATGGACCAAAGAAGGTTAAAAACCTCTGCACTAGATCACATGACTTAATGGTGCCACAAGCACCGGTGGTGATCGGAGTAGTTAAGAAGTGGTGAAGGTGGCTGGTTGTCTTGGTACTAGCAAAAAATCTAAATATTATTTTTAGGCTTAGGAATATATTGGCTCAAAAATGAAAGCCTTGTGCAGCTACTTGCCCATTAGGGTATGGTCTGGGGGAAAAATTTCAGCAAGTAACTTTTTGTGCCTGTATATTAACAGTGACTTTTCTCCTTTCCTAGGTGTTAAAATTATCACTCAACAGGTGCAACCCAGTAAAATCCTACCCAAACCAGTTACAGCGACTTTGCCCAGCAGTAGCAATTCACCTATTATGGTGGTTAGCAGTAATGGGACTATCATGACAACTAAACTGGTCACTACTCCCACTGGTAAGTTACTGTTCTTAGAAGGTAAGGGAGGGTAAACCCAGCAATACCGATAATAAACCCTGTTTAGCATGGTTAAATAGCATTTTGTTCATTGTTTATTTAAAAAAAAGGGTATAACAGCAAATTTGTAAACCTTTTGATAGTCACATACTAGGTTAGGACATTTATCCTTGTCATACTAAAATACTGTATTATAAACTCTCAAGTTTACCATTGAGTGGTCTTTTATCTCTCTTGTACTCTCTTTGACTTGGCACACATAAGTATAATCATTCCTTTCCCACTGGTTGAGAGAGAAATGTCACTGAAACCGATGATGATGATGATGATACTTTGCACTTCTGTAGCACCTTATATTAGAGGATGTCAAACAAATGAATTAAGCCTCTCAACATTCCTTTAAGGTAGGTAAATATCATTATTCCTGTCTTATTGATGGGGGATTTGAGAGACAGTTGACTTGCTCAGGGTCTCACAGTAAGTGCATAGAGGAGCCAGGAATAGAACCCAGATCCCCCAATTCTATTCTGTGTATTCACCAGTAGAGACACTTCCTTTCTATATCAGCAATGTTACAGATTGATGTGTTAGGGTAGTGTTGGATGTATGAAGAAGATTTAAGGGCAAGGCTGACTTTCTTTAAAGTTTGGTCAAAATTCATTTCTTTGCTAAGTGCGCACACATGTTGGGATAGGTGGTATAAATCTGTGCTTAACTCAATGTTTAGTTTAGCTTTTCAGTTCACCTTTAAATTCTTTACCCAGATAAAACATTATCCTGATATATTTTAAACAAGTGAAAGTGAGTGTTTGGAATATAATTTTTGTGAGGTTTTTTTCATTTTTAATTGGTAAATCTTGAATAGGCCATTTGTTTTCTCTCTTCAGACCAGTTTTGAATATTAGGTTTCCCAATTAAATCTAGCTGTTTTGTTGCTAAAAGTTATTATACAAAGAAGAGGTCTGCAATGTTTAGTCTGCAATATCATAGAATCATAGATATGTGCAGAAGTATAACTAATACCTGTTAATCGTAGTGGTTGAGAGGACTGAGCATGGGACTGGTAGTGAGGAATTGAGTTCATATTCTACCTCTCCCCCGACTCACTCGGTGACTTTGAGTGAGTTCCTTAACTCTGTGGGCCCTGTATTGCTCCCATTGAAGTTAATAGGAGAAAGGAAACAGACACCAGGTCTATCTATCTGTTGGGTAGTGAGAAGATTAGCTTGAATTCATAAATACTTCTAAAATGTGTAGTTGTATTTATTATTGTAGTAATTATTGTATTATAAAGAGTGTTGGTATAACTTTCACAAAGTGAAATTTAGGCTGGACATCAATTCTTTTAAGCCACTTCTATTGGTTTATATGCTCTCTCCCCACTCTTCTTAAAGAGGAAGAGATCAGTTCTAGCAAATTCCATCCTCACTTTGGCCCATAATAAAATAAAGGACAAATATTGAGAGAGAATCTAAACACCTTGTGAACAACAGAGCCATGAACATAAAGGTCATTAGTTTATAAAGAGCAAATCCATTACCAACTAGAATAGTTTTAACTTGAAATGTGATAGACAAAACATTTGAGACAGTGCTTTATGAAATCTTTCATTTAATTTAAATTAGCATGTATCTGAACATGGTGATGCAGACTGAAAACTAGCTGGAGGATCTTAAAGGGTAATGATAAATAGCACTGTATCCAGTCAAAGGCTGAAGGGGGATATGGTTGCTCTCTATGAATACATCAGAGGGGTAATGGCAGGGAGGGAGAAGAGCTGTTGAAGCTAAAGGACAATGTTGGCACAAGAACAAATGGGTATAAACTGGCCATGAATAAATTTAGACTGGAAATTAGAAGATGATTTCTAACCATCAGAAGAGTGAGGTTCTGGAACAACCTCCGAATAGGAGTAGTGGGGGCGAACAACCTAACTAGTGTTTTAAAATGGAGCATGATAAATTTATTAATAGGATTGTATGGAGAGTTTGCCTGTGATAGCAATGGACTGGACTTGATGACCCAGGAGAGGTCCCTTCCTCTCCTCTGTCCCTATGTTCAATTTCTTATAGTGGAACTAAATACTTCTCTTTGATCTAAACCTTCTTTCACAATTTGCAATACTCATAGTGTTTCATATTTTAATTGCAAGCCTGTTTTTATTGTTTCCCTTTGAAATAGGGACACAAGCAACATATACTCGTCCAACGGTAAGCCCCTCTATTGGGGCTCGGATGGCTGGAACTCCAGGCGCTGCCACTTATGTGAAAACAACCAGTGGCAGCATCATTACTGTAGTGCCAAAATCGCTGGCTACACTGGGAGGCAAGATTATAAGCAGTAATATTGTTTCTGGTAGGTGTATTGATATAAAGCCTTATCTGAGATACAAAACTTCTAGAGACACGCAAATACTTTACGCCTCACGTTTGATTTATCTCTGTGGGTACACAGACAAATAGTTTTGGTACATGTTTGAAAATATCTTGCATTTAGGACCAATTATTGTAAAAGAGTTATTCTCCTTTAGACATATCAGAAATGGCTGATTGATAAGAGAGGAACGAGAAGGAAGGTGAAGGTGTTGAAGAATGGAAGGAGATATTGTCAGGGGTTAGGGCATGCCTTAGATTTAGGAAGGAAGCAAATTTTTAGCATCTTAATGTAAGAGGATCCTGGGAAGCCAGAAGAAATCTTGATGAGTGGAAAAACGATTAGTGATACATTGTAGAAGGCAGGGAGGGTTATATCAGCTCCTTTGGAAATGCGGGTGGAGTAAAAAAAATTAGTTTATTTGTAGCCTGCAGAGAGCATCTCTGCAGAGTATTGATGAGATTTCTAGATCTAGTGGAGGTTTCATAGAATGGCATATGCACCACTGTCCTTTGATACCAACCTGTGCCCTTGAGATCAGTAGTTGGCCTTTATTCCAAGGGAGCATAGGACATGAGGTGCTGAAAATAATGCAGGTTTTGAGCAGGGCATCTAAGTAATCTTTCCATTCGGT